CGAATCCCTTTGGGGCAGCCCGGCCCAGGGAGGAGGTCTTGGCCGAGAAGGGGTTGGATTGGAAAAAGCTGGATTTGGAGGTCGAAGTGAAGAATCAGTCTTCAGTTAGCGGTGGGAGCCGGCCCATGAGCTCGCACTCGAGCAGGCCCGGGAGCCAGCAATCAAGCAGGTCAGATGTGCCTACGGCTTTGGGGGGTGAAGTGGTAGTTAAAGAAAGACCAAAAGTGAATCCTTTTGGGAATGCTAAGCCTAGAGAAGTCTTGCTCGAGGAAAAGGGTTTGGATTGGAAAAAAATCGATCTTGAGCTGGATAATAGACGGGTCGAAAGGTAATCCTTGATCATCAGATGCATTTTATTACTGAAATTGCATCCTGAGTGTGTAGTTTTTTCCTCAAGGTGAAACTGTGAATGCATGTGTTTTGTGATTGAATGTCCATATTGTGAGGAAAGTTTATATATCGTGGATTGCTAAGGTTCCGATAAATAATTTTGAGAAGTGTGTTAACTTACCGTGATAGAGTTTTATTGAGAATGATGCTGCTCGAGAAGTTCTGCTTTTTGTTGAACAGAAATGTATTGTTTAAATTAATAGGATAATATTGGAGGAAAAGAGGACAATTTTGCTTGTATCATCAAGAATATGAGACTTTGTGATTGTTTGCAGTGATTAACATGCAGCTGTTTGTGTGATAATGCCGCTTAGAACTTTTTTATTCTTCTGATAAATTGTCAAAGTTCACTGAACCAACAATAATAGTCAAGTGTTATGATTGTTAAAAACAAGAAGTTACATCTATAGTAAGTGGATGTGTGTGCGGACAAACATTTTCCTTTTTCTTTTACTTGTGCCTGTTGGCTTTATAGTGGTATTCGAACTCCATTTCGACTATACGTTGAGATTGTTGGGTATGGAGTGAGACTGGTTTTGATGGTCCATGGGATGTAATTTTCAGTAATGTATACTCTATAGTGAACTTTATGAAATAGAAATATGAAATTTTAACTGTGAAAAGGAAGGCCAGTCCATAATATATTGAGAACTGTACTCTCTCTATTGAGCCTTTGGAACTCTTGACTTCTTCATAATTGACCGAATATTTATGTGTATCAATATTAACGCATAATGCATCTCCTGCTCATGTATGCTCTTTCTATTTCCAAATTTTTAAGATTTTATTGAACAATTCATCCGTTATGGACACAAAAGTCTCTTTTTAGACTTAAGATATATTTCCTTTTACGAGTTTTATATTTTGTATTAACCGTTTCCCTATTCTTGGCTGAGTAATTGATTAGTTTGGAAATTATAAAAGGATTAATCTTTCATGGTTTCACGTGTCTGTTACAACTAACTCAGGTTTAGTCTTTAGTCATATTGGTGATTATTTTCGTTTCTCTAATAATGAAGTTCGTTACAGATTGTTTCTTTTTTTAGCTGAACTAAGCTTCTCTTTCAGGCCGGAAACAGAGGAAGAAAAGAATCTCAAGGAACAAATCAAACACCTGAAAAATGAACTGCTGGAAAATCCTGTCGAAGACCAAAGCGCCAAACACGATCTGATATCTCAAAAGGAACGTGATTTGGAACTGCTTGTCCGCCAGCTGGACGACAAAGTCCGTTACAGTCAAAAGATATTCGAAAGGAAAACTTCTCGACCGGGATCACAAGATGGGCAGTCTAGAGCTGGCTCTATCGACCGGCCTGCTTCTGTGCATGGAAAATACGAAGAACCCAATAGACCACCTTCTCAGCCTGGTTCTTATGAGAATTCTAGAGAGAGACATTTTTCGAGGCAGGGAGCTTATGAGGAGCCTAGGCTCGGGTTTAGGCATGGAGGGTTTGAGGACCCTAGAGGTTTGGAGTACAATGAGAGGCCACGGTCTCGTGGTTCCGGGAATGACAGAAGATCATTTGGGGGGAGAGGATTTGCTGGCAGCCGAGAGATAGACAGGTACTGTATTTTTTAAATATTTATTGTACTCTTGATTTTCTCATGCACATGTGAAATTTTTGCATTAATTTTTGAATCTTTGAGAAATTCTCGAAGGCGTGAGATATATTTTAGTTTCCAGTGAGGATGCGGATTGCATATGAAAATTTCTGGAATTCACTTGGTTTATATTCTTTTACTGTTTCCCTTTACTTTGTGTGACAAGGCTTATCTGATGCAAAAAAACCACCTTATGCATACACACACCATGGGAATCTATCTCGAATCTGCTTCGTGGAAAAGACTCATTGTTTAATCACGAAACGTAGCGTTACTATTTATTTCTATATCACATTGTCGTGACATAAATTTTCGTCATTCAGTTTCAACTCATTCAATCACCACTTTCAGAATTTCTTGTTCTCTAAAAAAATCACGCACTATTCTCAAGTAGGAAAGGCAAAAACAAAAA